GATTGGTTAAAAAAAAAAAAACTTTCACAATGCAAATGAGCTACACACATCAGGCTTTTCCTACAAGTGCTTTCCAACTCTTACACTGGCTGCAAATAGAGCTAGGGGCCATTGTCAACCCCAATAGGCTTAATGCGCGCTTGGGCACCAAATTAATATATTAGGAAGGGCCAGAAAGAAAAGATAACATGGCCACAATGAATTTTTACTAAACAAAACACCTAATGCATGAATCGCACATCATAAGAAAATATGACTAAAATATCGACTTGTAGAATGTATTTTTAATGAAAAGATAAAGTAATTATAGTGAAAATATATAGAAATTACTACACTACTTTCTGAAGTTTTCACGGTAAAATTCGTGTCTAGGATAATACAACAATATATCTCCTTAACAAAACTGTTGCTATTGAAATATAGGTTACTAAAAAAGAATAACAGTAAAACCATAAAGAAAGCGATAGAAAAGTGAATTCAATCGACTTTTACATATATTAGGTTGATCAGAAAATCCAAACTCACTTGGGAAGCGGAAAGAAAAGAACAACATTTTATGGAGTAACACCAAAATTTATTCTTTAAAATAAAGTCCATCATTCTTGACAATCTTCTGACAGCGATCAGCCAGCATCCGAATCTGTTCCAGATACCAATCCACTGGCTTTCAACAAAAAAAATGGCAATCCACTGGCTTCATGAAAAGTGATAAATCGCTGGTCGTGGAGGAAGTGTGCCGTTGAGTAGAATTGGCCATAGTCAATCGGAACAGCATCGGGACTGAATGGTGGATGTGGAAGAATCTCAACACCATCCATCTGTTTGAATTTCTCCTTAGACAACTTGGCAATGTTTGGCTTCGCATTGTCTTGCAGAAACAAAACCCGACCTCGACTGATCAAAACAGGATAATCCTTCTTTAATCTGTCGTACACGCGGTCTAGCTGCTGGTAATATGGTTTAATGTTGATGGCACGACCATTTCGAACAAACTTGAAATGCAGTATTCTTCGGAAATTCCACCAGAGAGAGATCAAGATTTGTTTTCTTTCTCCTTCCTAAATCAGGACTTTCTGGCCAACCTAGTATATATATTACTTTTAAAAAATAATTTATTCAAGTATACATTCCAGACCCCTATACCAAAAAAAAATAGTTATCGGTGTTAACCTCGGTGTCAGAAAAAGGACATTTCCGCGTGATAATTGATTCTAGAGACGTTTTTAAACACATTTGTTAATAAAATCTGATGGCTTAAAGCGATATTAAGTTTTGAAACTTGTCTTAAGTTCGAAACTCGCTCATTGAGTATAACTTTCTTAATTGCCTGCCCTTGATGACTGCCTGCTTCTATCGAGGTCGATTCGTTCATTTTACGTCTTTCGTGGGGAAGAGGTTTTGTTTACGCCATTATGCTCACAACAGTATCCAATACAAAACTTTTTTCTCCTTCTTTTACAACACTGTACTTATTTATTTATCTGTTTATTTATTAGTTTCAATTTCTTGGCGAAACTTTGGCAAGCGTTTAGTGATTGTTATCATTTTCAGTTGAATCAGCTCGACGAAACCAGTCCGTGAGAAAAAAAGAAAAGAAAAGAGCGCGTCAAACAAGACAGTTCAAGACTTGTCACATCAACGGCAAATCTAGAAAAACGGGCTCTCTTCTCAAATTTGTTAGATAGAAATATCTCTCTTATCTCTTCACACTTGGATATTGAGATCTTTTAACCCACCCACCTCCACACCGGATACAAATAAGTTCTCAATTTGTCACAGACCCTTAAATCCCCTTTTAAATCTTATGTACATTAATACAAGTACGTGTGTATATATGTATCTATGAAGCTCAGTTTTTCATTGATACATATACATCAATATATATATATATATATATATATATATATATATATATATATATATTGAGGCTATCAGATGTTTAGTCACACTGATGAGCTGCAAAACAGCGAAAGAGTCTGTTCTGTGGATGAGCATATATATATATATATATATATATATATATGCTGTTCATTTATTAATCCATTCCGTAATGTAATTTTAATACATAAATAGACCGGCAGAGAAGACAGACGTTTGAAAGTAACAGTCATTTCAAAAATGTGCTTCTTCTCTGTCTATATATATATATATATATATATATATATATATATATATATATATATATATATATATATATATATATATATATAAGGTTAATAGACTTGAATCTGACCAGGAAACAGTGGTATTAAACATAAAAGGTTAATGGTCATAGTTGTGTGTATATATATATATATATTAGAATGGATTGTTCATTTATTATCCGGCATTATTTTATTTTATTGTTTAAACGTTACTTTTACTGGATACCCATACTTGAGTAGATGCTCTGTTTTTTATTTATTAAACAGTATATTTATTTATTTCCATCTACCGGCCTAAATATTCGTGTTATCTTCTTAGAAAAATATGCCTTCTCCGTCGTGATTCGAACCTGCGT